GGTGGATAGAGTTGTTAAGAAGGCGTATGGTGTGTTAGCTTTCATTAATAGAGGGATTGAGTTCAAGAGCCGTGAAGTTATGCTCCGGCTCTACAAAACCCTGGTTCGGCCACATCTGGAGTATTGTGTCCAGTTCTGGTCGCCTCATTACAGGAAAGATGTGGAAGCGTTGGAAAAGGTGCAGAGGAGATTTATCAGGATGTTGCCTGGAATGGAGGGAAGGTCTTACGAGGAAAGGTTGAGAGAGCTAGGGCTTTTCTCTTTAGAATGACGAAGGATGAGAGGTGACTTGATAGAGGTGTACAAAATGATCAGAGGTATAGATAGAGTGGACAGCCAGAGAACTTTTCTTAGGGTGGAGGTAGCTATTACGAGGGGGCATAGTTTTAAAGTGAGTGGAGGTAGATATAGGGGAGACGTCAGAGGTAGGTTCTTTACTCAGAGAGTGGTAGGGCGTGGAATGCATTGCCAGAGAGGGTTGTGGAGTCGGCCTCATTAGGGGCATTTAAGCAGCTGTTAGATAGGCATATGGATGATAGTATAAGGTAGGGGTGGAGGTTAGATTGACATTAGGATTAGGGTAAAAGTTCGGCACAACATCGTGGGCCAAAGGGCCTGTACTGTGCTGTACTATTCTGTGTTCTAATTGGTTTTTGATAGCTCAGGGCCAGGTTCAAATTGCTTGGCTAAAATTCAAAACAGTTGTCTTGGAAAAAAAGTGTTGCTTGGCCTTTCAATATAAATGTTTGTATTTTGGATACTTTCTGTCCTGGCTCCCTGCTGCTGCTGCTCACAGACATACATTTTGGAAAATCTCTGAGCACAGAAAAAAATATAATCTTTTAAAGGGATGACATGCTGCTTTTCCCCACTATCATTTTTACCAACAAATTGTAACTTTGTGCCTTCCAATTCATGAATATTGTACACTGGCCATTTCTCAACATGGATGAGATTGCCTGGACATGGGAGGCTACCACAGACCGGTGGGGAGGGGGGAGGTGGTGGGGTGGGGGAGAGGGTGGGTGGCGTGGGGTGGGGGGGCAGTGGGTGGTGGTGGTGCAGTGGGAGGGAGGTGGTGGGGGCAGTTTCTGGTGTCATGGCCTCCTCTGCGGAGGAAGAGGTCACACCTCCTCTGTACTATAGCGTCCACCAAGGCATCCAGGTTCCTATCCACGATGTGAGGTGCCAACAAATGTTGCAAACCATGCAAGGCAGCTCCAGACTAACAGCACTTGCCCAGGTGCTCAATGCTTTTTCATAGATGGCATTGGCCCTAAGGTTGCCAGTCCATTCCAGGATATCATGGGAGGGATAAGTTCTTCTGAGTACAGTGAGTCGTTAGATTGGATTAATGTTGGATGAAAGCGTCCCCACTGGGGAAGGGTGAGTAGTTATGAGGCAGGTTTCAGACAATATGGTGAGAAAACTTGCTAGGCCTTGCATAAACAAACCTCCTGTGAAATCCTGAATATTGACACTTGACAAAGAAACATAATATTCAGCCCAGAATTTATGCATTGTTTGTACATGCTGGGCAGAAAACCCCAAACAATTCCTTTACAACTAGTTAAGGTGAAAGGATTAGAATTTATCTTTGTTAAATATCTGTTGTGGTTCTGATTTGAGTATTCTTACACTATTCAATTTGTCAATTATGTTCCATTCACAGGATTGTTTTTGTTTCGATCATTTTAAGCATTTGATAGGGTGTGAAGGCTTGTTAGGAAATTGTAGCTGTCAACTTCATATGAAGTAGGCTGGCAAAACCATGTCTAAAACACTAAACAATCTCTACATAATTTTTTTATGTTACCTATTGGAAGCCAAAAATACAATAAAAAATTTCAGAATTTTTGTAATAGTGTAGGTGGAAGTAGAGTAGGTATGATTTAAGTCTCACATACTGTGTCTGATTTGAATGGGGGTTGCTACATCAAATATGACAAATTTACAGGGATAACTGAACCAGGATGTTTTAACAAATTTCAATCCCTACTTCAAAGTCTTACATTCTGCTTTTGTTTCTATTTTTATTTCTATTGAATAAACATTAAAGTTCTTTGGACACTAAATTTAGAGTTGACTGCAAGCTCCAGTGAATTGTTCAGCCTCCGCTATTGGCCAATTGAACATGGTGCACCCTTGTGCCCATGGATGACATAGATGCAGCTTGCTCACTTGTGCCTGCTTGTACCTGAAATGGCAGTTATCCTCATTATGCAAGTGCCAGTGGACGTACCTCCAGAGGTTGCTGCACCTGTTTCATTGAATGTGCATCTTTCATCTGCAGGCAGAGTCTGAGGGTCCAAGAAAACCTATGATGACAGTGCCCCACGAGGGGTGGCTTCCTTAGCGTCATTATCATTGTTTTCCTCCCCTGCCTTTAGTTTTTTTTTTCTTTATTCATTCATGGGGGTGACGGCGTCGCTGGCTAGACAGCATTTATTTCCCATCCCCTAATTGCCCAGAGGGCAGTTCAGAGTCAACCACATTGCTGTGGGTCTGGAATCACATGGAGGCCAGACCAGGTAAGGATAGCAGTTTCCTTCCCTAAAGGGCATTAGTGAGCCAGATGGGTTTTTACAACAATCGACAACCTCATTAGATTCTTAATTCCAGATATTTTATTGAATTCTGCAGTGGCGGGATTCAAACCCAGGTCTCCAGGATGTTATCTGGGTCACTGAATTAACAGTCCAGTGATAACATCACTAGGCCACCACCTGCCCTGTACTCCTGATAGCTGCAGGTGTGTACCAACTGGGGTACAACTGTTATTTACTTCACACAATTCCATTCTTACAGCTCCAGTGACCAATCCACATTACAGTGCTCTACATGGAATGCTTCAAGTCAGTGTGCTGCACTTATATTCTCTCAGAATGAAATCACATCTGGCTATCTACGAATATCGTGCTCTATGAAGCAGCCTGCGCATTCAAAGCTGTCTGCCATAGTAGTGCAAATGAATTGAATGGATATTATCATTAATTATCATCCCATGTCCAACAACTGCCTTAAGGAACTTCAAGATACAAAAGCACATTTATTGCTACCAGTGGAGGTAGAATTTTTTTCTTGCAAGCACTAAGGGCCAGATGCTGCACCCAGCTGTACATTTCTGCTATCTTCCTGGAACTACCCACATCTGCTGCTGCCACTGTCTTGCCTCCGTTTTTTTTGCTCAAAATAGTGCTCTTCACTGATTCTAACCACACTCAAAGACCTACCGATGTGACTGTATCTGAGCTGGTGGAGGATGGACTTGTTTGATATGACTCCTTCTGTTCATTGGGTTATTTCCAATGGCGCCAGTGTCCTGTGTAGAATTAGGTAGTCATCCTTCATTGAAAGATACCCATGGAAGACAAAAGGAGAGCCTGAGAACTAGTCTTTGACAGTAGAAGCCTTTGCTGTGCTGAGACTTCCCAATGAAACTGAGTCTTTGGTATGCTAATGAACAAGGGGGAGTGTACTTATTATAAGCTTATTCATAAGAAGCTGTATGTATCAGCGCTGGCAAATCCTCAACAAGTGCTATGCCTCTGAGACTCGCTGAGGGTTCATTAAGTACCCTGGATACATATTCCTTCAATATTCAGGTGCAGCACACTCACTGAGGCTCCTCAGCTGCTTGTCTGCTGGAGATTGCATTTTGAGAGGCCTGTCATCAGGCAGTCACATTGCAATTGTCTTGCCAGAGAGGAGAAGCTCATCAAAACTTTTCTGACATTATATTCAGTTCCTGTGAACAACATTTCCGTTTCTGACTGTTTCAGTCACCTCCATCCATGTTTGCTTTGTTTGCCTTGATCATTTGTTTCCACCCTTTGGAAGAAGCATATTCCTTGATCACTAAACAATATTTAAGGCAGCAACTGAGAAGCATGGGATAGCTTTTTTCAAAAACCTATTCACTCCTAGGATGTAGGTGTCGCTGGCTGGCCAGCATTTACTTCCTGTCCCTTGTTGCCCTTGGAAAGGTGGCTGCTTGAACTGGTGCAGTCCTTGTGCTGTAGTAGTCCCACAATGTCTTTAGGGAGGGAATTCTAGCATAACCTAGGTTCCAAGCCTTTGCCTCATTTCTTGATCTAGTTCTTGCATTTTTCTTTGAAATGGCTGTTGTAGTAATAACCGTTGTGATGCATTTAAATAGGGCTCATACTTCTGCAGGTCCATTTAGATCCCACACCCATATTTGCTATTTAGCTTCTTGATTGCCGTCCAGCCAATTAGCAGGTCACCTCTTCATAAATTGCATACTCTGGCTACATCTTCCCAGATGCAAAATCTTGCCCTCAGTCTCCAAACTCCAGAGCTGGTCTTGATTGCATGTATTTAAAACAGTGAAGTATATTCCATTCCAAAGAGTTGTTGAAAAGTTCTAAAGTCATATTTCATGAAACTGATAACCCATGATCTTAATATCTAAACATCACAACATTTGCAAACATTAATTTGGAATTAGTTGTGGTCAACTAAAAAGTTTTTTTTCCTGGCACTGAGCATAATGACTTAAAAATATTAGCTTTACATGAAATTTGTTTCATCTGACGCTAATTTTTTAATTGTCATTGTAAAATTTTTACTATTTATCTTATTATTTCTTTGATAAATGATCTTCAATCTGTATTTTTTAGTCATAATGTCAAAACTTACAGGCAATGCAGAATTCCACATGTGGCTCTGATAGTTCCTGCCATATTAGGTTGTAAGGAGTAAAGACTCAGTTTTAGTAAGATATTTCATGTTTTCAATATTTACCTTGATTTATTCCTTGTCAGAAAGTCATCTCAACACTGAAGATTAAAATCTGTAAATATTCACAAACCATCAGCCACTGTGAACAGGAAAGATAAATGGGTAGGGCACTTTTTAGGAGGATAAGGCGATTATCAAATTATCTTAAATATTTATGGCAAATAAATATAAAGGGACATTTCAGTTTGGTCTGCAGTCATATTATGATGTCTGTATAAAGCAACGTTTCTTCTCACCTTGTGGTTTAATTCAGCACAGATTTCTTGCTGCTTCCGTCTGTCATTTGCCAGCAACACGTCAGTCTCATGAGCAATACAAGCTTCAGCAAATATCATCACTGTCTTCATAAGCAAGTCCTTCTTGTCACGGGTCCAGCTCTGAATCAGAACCCTCCAGTGCTCTTTCTTAAATTGAAATCCATCCCATAATCTCCAGTGGTCAATCTGCAAGGAAGTAACACTTTGTTACTTTCTCAACAAAAATCTACCTTTTAGGGCAGTTTTTATCTGTTGGTGTTCTGAACTCTGTTCCATAAATCTTAAAAGATTCATATTTATTTATCAATTCTAAACTATTTCAGTCAGCATTTTGCTCATTAAGTTAATGGATGCAATGCGTAATCATTTTTTTTCCAAAACTGAGGTGCTCCTACCACAAGACATATGTAAAGCACTCTTCATATTGTCTAATGCCATTCATTCATCTTAGTTGCAGAAGTGCAATGTAGTCACAGTAATTCATACAAAATTAGGGACTTCTTACAATATTAACACAGGCTCACGAGACTAGAATGCCCAAACTCATCGGAGCTGATTTCCACTCATCCTTGAGATTTTTCAGTCCAGTCTACAATGTGTCGTGGAAGCTCCCAAACAATATAGCAAAGTAGGTAAAAGCTCCATTTATTAAATAACAAGTGGGTAGGGACAATGAATGTCCTTCATAAAATTTCCCAAAGTGCAAGACATGAAGTTTAACTCACATCCTGGAATCAAATTCCTTTTTGAGGGGAGCCCATGTTTATCATCTTCACTACTTTAATGTTTATATCTTCATTATGAAGACAGACTGGATCACTTAGGATTATATTCTTTAGAAGTATAAGGGGGCTTTCATAGAAACATGAGAATTCTGACAGGGCTAAACAAAGTAAATGAAGGAAGGATGTTCCTGATGACTGGGGAGTCCAGAATTGGATCACAGTCTAAGGATACAGGGTAGGCATTTAGGAATGAGATGAGGAGAAATTTCTCCAGGGATCGGTAAACCTGTCACAGAAAACATTGTGGCCAAAACATTGAATGCTTTCAAGTAGGAGTTCAATATAATTATTAGGGCTAAAGGAATTAAAGGGTATAGGGAGAAATTGGGAGCAGGGTACTGAATTGGATGATCAGCCCTGATCATGTTGAAAGGCAGAGCAGGCTTGTAGAACTGAAGGGCCTACACTTGTTCCTATTTTCCATGTTTCTATGTTTACTTCCACACAATAATCACTCAGTGTGATGACAATACCTCCTGACGGTGGAACACATTTAAATTTGGACTTGCGTCCTCTTAATCTGCTCTCACGGAGTAATGTTTATGTCATCTCAGGTGTCATGACTTTAACATAATGAGATTGATATTACCATTGGTGATTGTTCAATGCTGGGGAAAGTAATCCAAATAACTTCATATAGAGAAGGTTAAAGGTTGAGGGACTAGCAGTGGACTGTGGGATCCTTAACAGAAGAAGTACTATCAAAAGATTTACAAACTAATCTTTGAATTAGTCAATTTCACCCACAACAGTGAAGTCATGATGTTTCTACAATTTATAGTTGTCAATGAGAAAGCAACCTGGACAATCAGAAACCTCAAAGTGGGGGATTAATCATAGAGATCCAATTTGGCTAATGCTAAAATGTGTTCAGCACTGCAAGGTGCTGAAGTTCAAAGTTGAATGGGCCAGGGTTTTCTTCAGAGCTCAATTCTTTGACATTTGACAATAGCCTCCAAACTGTCACTAGGCACTTAATGTTTCCTTTGTAAATGGTGATCAAAACTGGACACAATGTTCAAGGTACACTCTGCCTCTCCTAAGAGAGGAAATAATTTTAGAATAAAATTTCAAAATCCCACATATACCTTCCTCTACAGTCAAAATAAAGGACTAACCAGTTCTTGCCTGGATTTGTGTGGCAGCAACCTCAACAGCATGTCCATGTAGAGCATATTTCGATTCTGTGTCTCATTAGAGTACAGATCCACAATAACTTGAAATGTCCAATGATCTCCTTCACTCCAACCACAATTCCTGAAAAAGGGAGAAATACCTTTAATTGCAAACCTAAACATAAAAAAACTTAATTACTTTTGCTACATAAGAAAGAAAAACCTAATTAGGTTGTATTTCCTCACTGTTGATGCATTAGGACTGCTACGGTACTGAAGGAAAGATTTCCAATTATGATGATTGCGCACCTGCAAAATGCTTTTTTTTGGGTTCCCTATTGCTTTTTAGAACCTTCCTGTGGTGCATACACATTGCATGCAGTTACTGGTCAGTCAAGGGACATGAAAATGCAAAAATAAAAGCAGCTGTAGATTATTTGGTCCCTCAAGCTTGCTCTGCTATTCAATAAGATTATAGCTACCTCAGCTCCACTTTCTCGCCAGTCCCCACAAACCCTTGACTCCCTTGTAGATCAAAACTGTAATTCAACCTTGAATAAAAATGAATGATCCACCCTCTAATGTTAAAGAATTTCAAACATTAAGGTGCCCCTGACTTCCAGCTCATCTTCACCTTGAATGGGAAATTCCTTAATTTGAAACTATGTGTTCTAGTTCCAGATTTTGCTATGAGGCAAATATCATGTCAGTAATTACCCTGTCAAGTACCCTCAGAATCTTATATGTTCCAACAAGATCACCTCTCATTCTTATGTGTATGGTTCCTAAAGATATGGTCTCAGCAATTCACTTTACAGTTCTACAAGACTTCACTATTTTTATAATCCATTCTCCTTTCAAGAAACATTCCTTTGTCTTTCTAATTATTTGCCCTATTTGAAAGCTAACCTTTCATGATTCATGCATATGGACACTCAAAATTTTCCGTTACACAGAATTTGTAGTGTGCATGTACATTGCACCTGACTTGACCTAAACCCATGTGCATTTGCACATTCAGAATGTCAGCCTAAGGTCAATGCATCCATTCAAGAATTACAGGCCCAATTCATTGCAGGACCTTGAGTTTGGAAAAAGTGTACTGAAATGTAGTCACTGCTGCAATAATACAACTAGCAATAAAACTTTCTGGCTGAAAGCCAAAAACTGTCTCCAAATGGCATTGAGCCTATCTTTGGCTTGGTATCCAAATATAAAAACTGCTTTCTCTAGACTTCTTGAATTTTTTGATAAAGTAACTGAGAAGGTTGATAATGGGAATGCCATGAACATTTTCTGTATGAATTTTAATTGAGTGTTTTATAAAGTATCACACAATGGATGGTTAACAAAATTGTGGCTTGTGGTCAGGAGAGTCATTGTAAGCATGAATTTTTTAAAATTGTCTTAAGGACAGAAAAGAATCAAAGCAATAAATTGTGAGTTTTCAGACTGCAGGATGGTAGACAGTGGGGTTAGGACGACTGATTTTTGATGTGTATAAATGATATGGGATATTGGAATACAGAGTGAAATTTCACAGTTTGCCAAATATACCAAAATGGATGAGTGTCAAACAGTGAAGGTGATATAAATCAACTGCAGTGGGACATGAATAGGTTAGCCGAATAGGTAGACAAGTGGCAAATGGAATTTAATACAGATTAATGCAAGTTAATCCATTTTGACAGAAGTGTTTGGGAGAGGCAGTAGAGACTTGTTTTAAAGAGTATACAGTGACAGTGGGACTTAAGGGTACATGTGCATTGATCTTTGAAGGTGACAACGCATATTGAGAGAGTGATTAGTGTTATGTCTTGGACAAGCGCCCAATTTTATGTTATGACCAAGATTGGAGGAGTGCACTGTCTCTTTCTAGTACCATGCAGTCTACTGTCACCCTATTAAATGGTTCCCCAAAAACTGGTGTGGGAATGAGAGATGCAATGTTTTTTTGCAAGTTGCTGTTTTCCCACAATCAGGCACAAGTGGCATGTTCTACAAAACTGCACCATGCTTTTGTTAAATCCTGGTCAGTAACAAAATTGACATGTGCTTGGGTCTTCAGGATCCCTTAATGTCCTGCCATTGAAACTTCATGGGCTTTGCTTAATATTGCCTGAAAATATTTGGGTGGCACCACTCTTGGTGAAATACTGAACACTTTTCATCTTGTGTAAGGAAGTCTTCAGTTGCTCATCAGAACCCATTTTTAACATTCTGGAATTCCTTTTTCTTAAGTTTAATTTTGAGTCAATTGTTCTGCTTTACTTAAGTTTGCATCAGCTCATTGAGCTTCATTCAGGGGAGACTTATTGAACATTTCCTTCAGATTATTCAATTCCCTAAAGAAAGGTTCAGACAGCCATATATCTGTCTGTGGTGTCAATTTGACTTCAACCACTGGAACTTGTTCGGTCACGATCAGATCACTACACATGAAGGATAAAGTTCTGGAATCTCTTCTGCAACTCCTCTGTATTCTTTACCCCTCTAGGTATTTCTGTGACTAATGGAGAAGCTATGACTTTCACTGCAACCATATCACTTCCCCAAGAGCAAGTCAATTTTGTCTATTGGTAAACTACAGTTTATAATTACAGTTCAGATGTTAGGACCCTCCAGATGTATTCAGTACAAAGGTAGAGGTATAAATTCCTGCTAAAATTGTTTGTTAAAACCATTCAACGTGCTCTCTGGTGGAAGAGATATGCCATTCCCCAGCAAAATAGTTTATTGGCTCCTGTATCCCTAAGTAATTTATCTGTCTTATTTGAGGGATAAGGAGTTACTTCTCCTTTTGACAAGAATAACTCTCAGGTATCTAGTGACAAAAATAATTGATGAGGGAAGAGCTGTGGATATAGTTTATATGGACTTTAGTAAGCATTTGATAAAGTCCCACATGGCAGATTGGTACAAAAACTAAAATCACATGGGTTTCAGGATGGGCTGGCTAGATGGAAAAGAACACTGGCTTGGTCATAGAAGACAGAGGGTAACGGTGGAAGAGTGTTCTTCAGAATGGGGACCGGCAACTAATGGTGTTCCACAGGGACCAGTCTTAGGACCTCTGTTGTTTGTACTATATATAAATGATCTGGAGGAAAATATGGGTGGTCTGAATAGTGAGTTGGCAGATGTTACAAAGATTGGTGGAATTGCTGATAGTGCCAACGATTGTGAAAGGTTACAATAGGATATAGATAGATTGGCAACTTGGTCACAGAAATGGCAGATGGAGTTTAACTGAGACAAATGCGAGGCGATGCATTTTGGAGGACCAAATTTAGGTGTGAATTATACTGTAAATGACAGTACCCTTAGGAACATTAACATACAGACGGATCTGGGCATGCAGGTCCACAGTTCCCTAAAGTGGCAACACAGGTGGCCAAAATGATTAAGAAGGCATATGGTATACTTGCCTTCATCGGTTGGGCATGGAGTACAACAGTTGCATCTATATAAAATCCTTGTTAGGCCACGTTTGGAGTATTGTGTGCAGTTTTGGTTGCCACATTACCAGAAGGGCATGGAAGCTTTACAGAGAGTGCAGAGAAGGTTCACCAGGATGTTGCCCGGTCTCGAGGGCAATGCCTGTGAGGAAATGTTAAAAAGACTAGGATTATTTTCATTGGAAAGATGGCAGCTGAGAGGAGACCTGGTAGAGGTCTACAAAATTATGAGAGACATAGATAGGGTGGATAGTCAGAGGCTTTTTTCCCCAGGGTTGAAGTTTCGATTACAAGGGGACACAGGTTCAAGGTGAGAAGGCAAAAGTTTAAGGGAAATGTGCAAGGAAAGTTTTTCACGCAGAGAGTGGTAGGAGCCTGGAATGCACTGCCAGAGGAGGTAGTGGAAGGAGGCACATTGGCAACATTTAAGAGTCGTCTGGATGATTACATGAATAGGGAGGGAATGCAGAGGTACAGACCGAATAAGGGCAGAAGGTTTGTGTTTTAGTTTAGTCAGGGCATGATGGTCGGCACAAGCTTGGAGGGCCAAACGGCCTGTTGCTATACCGAACTTCTCTTTTGTTCTTTTGTTCATCTCCCTCATACTCACCATGGTATTTGTACTCAGTGTCACAGTGGCAGTCAGAGCTTCAAGTTGGTTTGTTGTATTCTTGGTCAAGGCTCCTTTCTCTGCATTGACTCTGTGTACCTAATAAGTCCTATGGGTTTATCCAGAAACATCTACCTATCAATACAAAGGCTTAAAGGGCATCACTTCTAAGCTCAGCACCTTCCTTTCAGGTGTGAGGGGGATATCCCAGGGGATTCTCAGCTGTCCTTTCTCATCTCTAGCTACTTTTCTTCTTTTAACCCTCTCATCTTCTATCCTTCTTAGGTTTGTAGTGGTGATAGAAAAGGGTTTGGGTTTATGAACAAGCCTTTAATTATCACCCATTTTAGCTGTCTGGCTGCCAGTTGAAATCTTCGGCTTTTAATATAGGTTCTTACTATTGGAAAGACTGGATTTTTGAATTCTTCCAGGGAATTATTTCCATAAGGTTCTCGTACATAGTCTCTACCTTTAATGCCTCCATCCAACGACCAAAATTATTTTGCTTTACCCTCTCAAATTCTATGTAGCTCTGCCCAAGCAGCTTCCAAACATTTTGCCTGTAAGCTTCAGAAACTAACTCCCTATGCACCAAGAATAACTTTTTTTGCCATCTTATAATCATTAGAAGCCTCCTCAGAAAGCATGACATAGACTTTCTGAGCTGTGTCAGAAAGTTTGCTTTGCACAAACAGTGCCACCCCAACTTTTCAGCTATCTTTTCAAAAGAAAAGAAATAAAATGCCTCCATATTTCTTCCATCAAACTTCAGGAGGGCTTGTACAAAGTCTTGGGTTAGTGTCATGCCTTGAAAAGAAAACAAACTTGAAAAGTCGATAAAACTTTTATAATAGAATGGAGGAAGTGAAACTGAAGTCTCCTAATATTAGTTTGTCAGCGCTGAGAGATTGTTCAGTGATATGACTTAATTTGTAATTAAAAATGCATATATTCCTCATTCAACAACAGTTTCAATGGATTTTAGTGAGAACAGTGTATAAAAAGTTGAAGTTCAAATTCAGTTACAGATTCTGTGCTGATTATATCTACATAGGTTGCAACAATGCACCTGTGGAAGAACAGGTTATTGCTGACATCAACTTCCAGATTTCCACTCCAATGTTTAGAAAAAAATGTTCATGATATGCGAGGCCAGCATTATATAGCCAGCATGGTATGTGAGGCCATATCTAATTGCTCTACGGAAGGTGATGTTTAGCTGCTTTCTTGAATTACTGCAGTCCTTGTTCTAGGTAGTAGAGTTGCAGGTTTAGAAGGTGCTAGTGGAGGAGTCTTTGTGAGCTGCCACAGCGCATCTTGTAGATGGTACACGCTGTTGTCACTGAGCATTGATGCAAGAGGGAGTTAATGTTGAAGGTAGTGGTGAAATGAATACTAATTAAGCAGCTGTAGAGCGTCTGGAACCTGCAATGGCATTAAATGAAGTGCTTGGTATCAGGGCTCACTAAAAGGCCTCACTGCCCCAGTTTCAGATTTTCAATCAGCTGACATGGAGACTTTGTAGGATTGTTTTAATGGATTCCTGCAGCTCCAGGGGATTTTTAGTTGCATGCATGTAGCCACCAAACAGACCAGAGAACTTGATTCTTCACTAGAAATGGCCTCCACTCAATCAGTATCAGACTGCCCTGTGTCTACATGTCTGCACTTAGGGCAACTGTAATAATGCCTGGTTCCTGAGAGAGCACTAGATGCTTCACGCCAACATGCAGGCTCTGTGGATAGTTGCTGGTGGATAAAATTTATTGTCCAAAGAGGTGGTCCATGTCCCTGTCTTGTACCTAGGCAGAGAAGCAGAGAGGGGCTACAACCAAAATCATCTTTCAACATGGACCTGCTTTGAGCAGACCACTGGCATGTTGAAGATATGTTTCCTTTGCTTTCACTGTTTTAGTGGTGCCCTCCAGTCTGAGCCAGACAGTGTGTCCAATTTTGTGTTTGTTTTGCTGCGTGCTCCATGCTCCACAACATGACTATACAAAGAGGTGCGGAGCTGGATCAAGAGAAAAGATTGATACAGCACTCTTCCTCAGAGGAGGACAGGGATAAGAAGCATGAAAGAGGCACCTCAGAGAAAGTCAGGATCCACACATTTAAAGGAGGCTGCAAAAGCCATTATAAACTTCACAGTGATCAATTGATTGATATGGCTATAAGGATAAACCTGATTCAGCAACATTCAACATTCAGCAATGTTCCCAGCCCATGAAAATATCTCCTGCACCATCTTCCCCCACAGCTTTCTTCTCAGTCTTCACCACAATCCATTAACTGATCAACATTATTGTAAAATTATAAATCAAATGAGAAAAGAAAGAGATGACTTCACCCAGGTAATATGTCAAATGTAACTCACAGCATGAAGCATCTCACTCACACCAGCCCTACAGCCATCTGGCTGAGGACGAGATGGAGAAAGCCAGTTGCTGCAGTTGTTTCTCTATTCACAAATAATATTGAATGGCTTAGATCACCAGATCAAGCTGAGGAGGTTTTCCAGACATGTGCCAATGTGGTGAAGACCAATTGGAGTGCACTATCTGGTCAAGAGGGTTATACACCTATGGCAGCTTTCGATTAAACTACGTCCTGGAAAGTGAGGAGCTGAAATTCCTCAAAAGGAAAGCAGAGTTTTAAAGGATTCTGTGATTGAGTCAACTCACATGATGCAGCTTAATGGTTATTTCATATGTAATTTATAGAGGACAATAAACCACAACTAGTAGTTGATTCATGTTGAACTAAAATTGATTTTGAACTTAAGAACAAAGGTGATTAAGATGTTATTTAGTATTTGCTTTATTAACTCATGTGGAAGAAAAAAATTCTTAGGTTTTAAACTGTAGATTATCATTGCTTTTTTATTTTAATAAATAACAGAAATTTCTGAATAACTGGAATGACTGAAAAGAATTTTTTTAAAAGAAAGGTTACTGCTCCACTAGGATCATAACAATATCTGCAGAGAAACTAAAATAAGACAAGATTATATTTGCATTTTTCTGGAAACACAATACAACTCTGATCCTTGGACATACTTTGAGTTTTTGCCTAAAATCACATCAAGTAAAATGCTTGTAATTGAAGGTTGGGAGTTTTAAGTCAGCTGCCGACTCCCCTGATTTTCAGCATGCATCAGGTGGCAGGCAGATGAAAATCACTCCCTGTTTCGTAATTATACAAATATATCCACTGCAGTGTCAGGATTTTTTCATCTAATTGGCAGGAAAATCACTTGCAGATTAATCTCATTATTCACTTTTTGTGTAATTGTTACCTTACCTGTCTGTAAATTTAAGTTGGTGATTGATTTCCTCTAGCTGAGATTTGTACTTTGCATTCAGATTCTGGAACTCCTGCAGAACAGAGGCTTTCAAGTCAAGATATGGACATTCTAAGTAGTGCACATCCTCTGGAATTTCATCAAGATGAGGAGGGATTTCTTCCTGATTATAAAAGAAAAGAGAAAAAATTATGAAAAGTAATATCTCTTCCTATAATTTTCCATTTAATGATCCTAATATCCAATAATATTTGAAATAATATTAATGAAGTTAATCTTCCTATGAGTGTAAAACAAGAACAGCAAAATTGGCAGTCTCCACTTAACTCATGAAGGGAGATTTCTGGCCAATCTTTCAAGAGGGCTAAAGTTAACTTCAACACAACTATATTTATTGATCCCGTTATAACTCATACAAATTATTAAAAGGCCTTTTCAAACATTCTTGAAAACAATTGGAGACCGCACAGAATATTGAGGAAATTACAAATTTTCTTTACTGTACTGCTACCAGTTTACAGGGTGTCACAGCTTCTAATGCATTATATCTTTTCTTAACTAAAGAAACCAAAACTATTCACAGAACTTCAGATGTGCTTGAATAAAGGCAATGAACAGCTGCAGCACCCTTTTCCTATATTAATACTCAGTTCCTCGTTGATTGATTTTTTTTATTGCAATCTGTTTGGATACATCTATGTGGCAACTGGGACATGAACTCAGACCTTCTGGCTCATCTGTGTCACGAGAGCCCAAATTTTTTTTTAATCAGCCTGTTCGCAAATATTTTGACACACCTCTGCGATAGGCTGGACTTCATCAAGACCTTCTGAATTAGAAAGGATACTATTTGTGCAGCATAAGAGTCCCTTCCCTTACAATAAATGCCAATATTCTATTTACTTTCCTAATCACTTCTGCACCTAGATACCATTTGAAATTCATAGGCATCGGGTTTTAAGGCTTTGAAGGAGGCCCTTCAGTCCATCATATTTGTGCCAGTCATCAAACACCTATCACTTGTTCATTTTTCAGCAATTGGACAGTAGTCTTGTATGCTATGATGCTTTAAGTGACCATCTAAATAGTAAATATTATGATGGTTCCCACCTGTAACACCCATTCAAACAGTGAGCTCCAGATACCCACTATCTTTAAGGAAAAAAATTCTTCCTTAAATCACCTTTAAAACTTCCAGCCTTTTACCTTCAATTCCAACCCCCGTTATGAAGAGGAAGGTTTCTTCCTATCTACCCTATCTTTGGCCCTCATAATTCTGTACTCCTCAATTAGGACCCCCTCAGTCTCCTCTCTATGAAAACAAACCAGCCTATCTAGTTTCTATTCATAGCTGACTCACTAAACCCAGGCAACATCCTGGTGCACCTCCTCTCCACCCTCTCTAAATGCAATGCCATCCTCCCTATAGCTGGTGACCAGAATTGCACACAGCTGTGGCCTGACTAATAGATTCTACAGCTCAATCATAACTTCCCTGCTCTAGTATTCAGCATGTCAACTAATAGAGGCAGTATCCCGTATGTCTTCTTCATCACCTTTTTTGCCTGTCCTGCTGTCTTCAAGGATCTGTCAACAATCACACCACGGTTGCTCTGATCCTCTGTACTTCCAGGGTCCTACCATTCATCATGCACTTCCTTGCTTTGCTAACCAGACTGATTCTACACCTTGATCTTTTGAATGTTCAGATGTAAAGTTCAAAAAGCCAAATAATGTCTGTGAATCCAGATCATTCTTTTAAAAAAAGTGATCTCCCTTATTATTTAGAATTTGAAGTTGAAGTTGAAGTTGAAGGAGAAAATCCTCAGATATTCCAAACTGAAAAGTTTGGTTAGGACTTTAAATGTCCTCTTTAAAATGATAATGAAGCATAGCACATGAAACTGAGACACTGGATATTTTTTGAATCACTTTAGTTGTAGCTCTTTATTTTAAGATTTTCACCTGTCCAGACAACAGTACCCTTCATCTTTGGTATGAACCTGAGCCTAGAGTAACAGGTCATCATACCTTTTACTTGATACCTAGGAAATAGGCATATAGTAAATAAAAACTGAAGCCTAGAAGTCTACATCCAATTCAGCTTTACTTATACTATGTTTCACAACCAGATAAAAACAATTCAACCTTGATTCATTTATGACTCTTTTACATAAGTAAGACCCCACAGATGCTGGAAACTAAACTAAAAGAAACAGAAAGTGCTGGAAATGACGGTATCTAGGTAGAATCAATATTTCAAGTCTGTGACCTTTCTCATTTTTCTATTTTTATTTTATACTTCCTTTACACGGTTTGCTGTTATTCTAACATTCTATTTCACTTTAACCTCTCTTTGGCCTGCAGGAAAGTTTGTATTATATTTCCTAAACTTCTTGTTTCAGATTGTTTTGTCTTTTCTTCCCATCCTACTAATTTAAAATGCTTTCTTACTTTGTGATTAATTCTTTCTACCAGCACATCAGGATCATTTCAGTCAGGAGTAAATCAACTCAGCTATACAGCTTCCAGTCAACCTAGTACTCATCACAATGTTCTAAGAATCTGAAATCTTTAAGTGCAATCTATTGAGTCCTATAGCAGTTGCCATGCCAAATTGAAATGAATGATTGATGTCAATTTGAAAGTACCCCAAATAGAGAATTTCATGATTTAGGTATTACATGATGAAAGAAAACATAAGAAAGCAAATATGTACATCCACTATTATGCCACATGATCCAATAAGATAATCAATATGGCAGCAATCAGCAATTTTAATGTTCAAGTACAAATAGTTGCACACATTAACAAGGCAGTAAACATATTACCTCAATCCTTTGGAGATCAGTTGACTTTGGACAGAAGCTTACAGTCCCAACAAGCAGATTTGCAAATGAGGGGGCATCAAGCTCTGTGCGTTTCCTGCCACCCAGTGTCGACCTAGCCATAATTTACAGGCTAGTGGGCAACTGCCCTTGCACCAATTGAGGATCCCAAACTCTGTCCCCACCTAGGTGACCTACATGCTGTGACGTGTGCACCCCAGCCCCTACTTTCTTTGGGTCCCTCACCCAAGGTCCTCCTATTTTGGCCATGTTAAAATACTACCAATCTATATTACCTGTCAACTGGCACCTAGCTTTCTGGTTTTTGGACCGATTACACTGGTGCTACTGACTCCTCTGAGTGTTGAAATGGCTGTGGGATAGCCCATTGGAGCATGTTAAGTTTCACAATAACATTTTTGGTGGCAGTGGAGGAAAACCCACCACTGGTAAAATCCTGCCCCATGTTTCAAACTGACTCTGATTGCTCCTGCTGTATCCTATCTCCCTATGGCATTTCTTTATAAATGTCCAGCTCACAGCGTATCAACGTAACTGCAATATAATTATCCTTCAACCAGTTAGTTGTGAATCTTTGAAATTTTCAATTGTAGTCTACTGTGGATACTTAGTAGACGAATATATTCAAAACAGAGACAAAAAAAAAATTTTAGGAAACTAGTTATAGGGATAGTTCAGGAAATGAGAAATGCTTTCAATGGTTAGCTTACTCCTGCTCCTATTTCTTATGTTCCATGTTCTTATTTAGCCAAAGCTATGCCAATTTCTGGGATGGCAGCATTGATGTGTGAAGACAGGCTGTATTCGTTAGGACTATAATCACTGGATTTTACAAGAAAAAGGGGGAATCTCATAGAAACCTATAAAATTCTATCAGGACTAGACTGGGTAAATGCATGATGAATGGTCCCGATGACTGGGGAATCTAGATCCAGAGGTTACAATTTAAGGATATGGTGTCGGTCATTTACGACCAAGTTGAGGAGAAATTTCTTCACCCCGACAGTGGTGAGCCTGTGGGATTCTTTGTCACAGGAAGTGGCTGAGGCCGAAATATTGAATGTTCTTAGGGCTAATAAGATTAAAGGTTATGGGGAGAAAGCGAGAAAAAGGTTCTGAATTGGATAATCAGCCATGATCATGTTGAATGGTGGTGCAGGCTTAAATGGCCAAATCTACTCCTGCTCCTATTTTCTGTGTTTTTATATGATCATTTTGTTTCTTCCTGATTCTTCAATGTTTCTGGCTATTACGGTGCTGTGCACAAGCTAAATAATGAAACAGTTTAAGATTGCACCATTGACCACATCAACTGGTCTTGTCATGCCAACTGGCAATAATTGAGGAGAATTGACTTCATGATTTCTGGATCACCAGGATGTTAATTGCAGAGCTGTGTCATTCACTACAAAGATAACTGTAACTGACCTGCAAAGAAACATCTTTCCACTGCAGGCTCTCTGATACTTTTCAAATAATGAAAGGAGCTCATTTTGAATTTCAAATTAAGGTCAAAGTCAAGGAGATTTGGGCTGAGTGGTATTTCATAATTTACATGAGCCAAAAAGCATTCATCGTTCCAATGCTTCAGTGTCTGGAAGACCAGAAAATGGACCTTCCTGTTCTGTATAATTTTAAAAATTATTTACCTCAAATTCAATATTTTTGATCTGTTCTTCCAAGATGCTTCTCTCTTGCTCAAGCATGTCTGTTATCATCTTCTGTTGGTTTCTTACACATTCCACCTAATTGCATATAAAGGTGAAGAAAATATACATGCTTCACAAGCAAAAGAATAGCAAGTGTTAAGAAGTTATAGTTATTTTCCCCCTCAGAGTAATTTAAACAGTAGTATTTTGAGAAATTTTGGAAAGCTTTGACTGACATTTATGTTCTCTTGATTCTTAGGTTGGCTACCAGGCAGCCACATTCAGGCAGGTAAACTAGCCTCAACCTCCTACAGACACCTTGTGGCTGAGTAGAAAATCCCGGTTATACTCCTTTAGTAGGTTTTAAGTCACCCTTAATTGCTTTCTTTGGCTTTCTGCCTCATGCAGGGACAGCCCTGCTGACACCCCATTCCATCTCTGCAAAAATAGAGCCGGTGAACTTATGCATAGGCAATCTGCACTATTTTTGGCACTTGAATTCTTCTATTCACTGTCCTAGCTGGTCTTAAAAGTCATTGAAAAACTCCGTTCTTCATAATGTGAGTCTGTTTACTACCAATGCTCACTGTGCTTGATTTGTTAAATCTGGCTCAGGATTCACAGAAAAGTAAAAAGATTAAAGAAGTTGCTGGAAACAAAAAGCTGTAAATAGACAGTAGACATTCTGAAATATTGTGAATAAATTTTTGCTACACACATGGAAACTAGTGCAATTTCTGCATAGCTCCAAGATATAAAATATACAATACCCTTGGGGACAGATTATTCTCAATTACTTGCACTGGAGGCTATCAGAATTATAATACATTCAAACATAAGAACAACATTTAGCTGCTTCACCAAAACCTTCCCTTCATTATAAGGTCAGAAGAAAGGATGTTTACTGATTATCGCAGAACGTTCATTACCATTCATGACATTTCAGATACTAAAGTAATCTGTGTTCCTATACAGAAAGATCTAGACAACAGTCAGTCTCGGGCTTGACATTCAAACCATAAGAGTTCCAGGCAATGAGCACTTTTAACAAGAGAGAATCTACCAATCTTCCCTTGGCATTCAATGGCATTGCCTTTGCTGAATCTCCCATTATCAATATCCTTGAGGGATACCATTGAAATCAGAAACCAAACTGAACAACCACATGAATACAGTGGCCACAAGTGCAGAGACTGGAAATTCTGAGGCAAGTAAATCACTTTCTGATATATACAAAACATAAGAGTGTTGGAACACTTTCCACTTGCTTAGAGAGAGATTATTATGCTTTTTTGTGAAAAATTCTGAGGGAAAGGCATAAATGAAACTTGACATTGAGCTTAATACGGCAATTACTTTTGGAAATTCAGTGACATTATTGTATCTCCTTAATGAAACGTAATGCTTCTTATCAGATTGTTACAGAAGTACGAATAGAATCAAGGGATAAGAATCAATGAAATAGCAAGTTGTCTTAAAGTTAGAAAGACAATTTGTTCTCCCTGCTTGTCAAAACTTAAAAATTCTGCTAAAAGCAGCAAATGTGGTTGGTGAAGAGTATGGGAGACTACTAAATGGGATTAGTGAGAAGTATTAAATCTGTTAAAAAAAAGTTGGAGGAAGCCACTACATCCTCCAGTAAGCCTTCTACTGTCATGTGACTTTCACAATAAGGTTACCTTGGATGCAAAGTTATAAAACAAATTCAGACATACTTTCATTCCACATTTATAGATGTTGCAAACACATTTGGTTTGTCGAGAATAATCCTGGGTACAGGTAAAAAGGGTTTTTGTGAAAAATCATGGAAAAGAAGATCAAACAAGGAACACCAATGAGGTTTCTTACTGATAATGAAGGTGAATTTGTCAATGATTAGTTCAGGGACATAAGGGAAGCATGAATATCATGATCCCGAATGCCACAGTTGAAAATCTTTTCAGTGACAAATTCTGTGAAATGAAATATGGGGTAATCATAAAATGTTGAAGAAATGCTGAGATGGGGAATAAATGCTAGCCTAGCCCAGCAGTGCCTATATCCTGTAAATGAATAAACTGGGAATAAATTAATTTAAAAATTTTAGCTGATCACCAGGTTGCAAGTTGACAAGTGTCCTCGCATGGGTGATTCATGCAAACAATTCATTCCAGATGTTGGAAGATATTGTACCTATCATTTAGTTTATGGGCAAAATCCCCAACTGCCTGCTGTGCTGTGTAATTGTCCTCTTGCTGCAGAAGATAATACAACAGTCATGAGGTCTCAGAGAAAATTCAGAAATCATTGAGGCTTAACATAGGACAACTTAATTCAGGAGATTTGCTGTATTATAAAAGAGAGGGTCATAGATAATGAAACAGCCCTGCCTTACTCCAATAATCCTTATTAATCCAATCAAATATCAGTCTAAGCCAGCCCTGAAGATATTCAATGATTCCGCCTCCAATGCTCTCAGGGGCAGAGAATTTCAAAATCAAAATTGGATCAATGGGCTAGAGAGTAGCAGATGGAGTTTAATGTGGATAAATGCGAGGTATTGCATTTTGGGAAAACAAACAAGGGCAGGGCTTATACAATAAACAGTAGGGCCCTGGGTAGTGTTGTAGAACAGAGAGACCTAGGGGTTCAGGTACATAATTCTTTGAAGTTTACATTACATATGGATAGGCTGGTTAAGAAGGCATTTAGCATGCTTGCCTTCGTTGCTCATAACTTTGAGTATAAGAGTTGGGACATTATGTTAAGGTTGTACAGGATGTTGGTGAGGCCTCTCCCGGAGTACTGTCCAGTTCTGGTCTCCAAATTATAGAAACAATATTATTAAGCTTAAGAGGGTTCAGAAAAGATTTACCAAGATGTTGCCTGCAATGGAGGGTTTGAGTTATGAGGAGAGGTGGATGGAATGGGATTTTTTTCATTGGAGCATAGGTGGTTGAAAGATGACCTTATAGAGTTTTATAAAATCACGAGGCGTATAGCTAAGGGGAATGGCAGGTGTCTTTTCCCTAGCATGGAGGTTTTTAAGACAAGGGGACATATTTTTAAGGTGAAAGGAAAAAGATTTTAAAAAGACATGAGGGACAATTTTTTTAAACAGAGACTGGTTCATGCGTGGAATGAACTTCCAGAGGAAGTGGTGGATGCAGGTTCAGTTACAACATTTAAAACACATGTACATAAGTGCATGAATAAGAAATGTTTCGAGGGACGTGGGCCAAGCGCAGGCAGGTAGGACTAGTTTAGTTTGGGATTATGGTCGGTATGGACTGGTTGGACCAAAGGGTCTGTTTCCATGCTGTATGAGAATAAATTCCTCCTTTTCTCTCTGTAATGTGAGATCCCTTGCTGTGAAACTGTGCATCCAGTTCTAAATACCCCCAATGAGGGAAAACATCCTCTCAGCATTTATCCTGTCAAGTCCCCTCAGAATCTTATTTTTTTTCCAATACGTTCACCTCTCAATCTTCTAAATGTCAACAAAAACAACTTTAAAAACCCATATCTTTGATCAAGCCGTTGGTCATCTGGCCTAATAACTCTTTATACAACTTGATGATTTTGGAACTTGCTCTCAGACACCCTTGTAAAGTACGTTGTGATATTTTATTATATTAACAGCACCATATAAATACAAGTTGTTCACTTTGTCGCTGTGTTAAACCAAAATTAAGGAGAATTTAAACTAATACCTGATTTTTTGTGATTTTGTTGTTTCTAGAATGTGTTACCTTTTTGAGTAATCTCAATATATAAATGTAAAAATTAGACATTAATGAGCATAAATGTTCACCCACAATAAGTTAAATGCAAAGCAAAGTAAGCAAAAATTGTTTTATGATTTGACATGAAGCCTAATGTAAATAAAAGTTAAATTGAATAGTTTTTGTACCTGCTGCTGTATCTGGCAGGAATTAAATCCATCACCCTGGTAACAGTGCTGCATTTCAATCAGCCTTTGTTTCAAGTCTTTCTTCAATTGGAAGATTGGATCCACTGTACCTGTTCTAAAAGCTTCTTGGTCTTTTCGCAACATTGCACCTTGTGTTAGAGAGAAATTCTCAATGTGCCTGCTACATATTGATTCTTTAAAAGGATAGAATTCAAACAATTTCACTTTACTACTGAAAAGCTTAAATTTCTTGAGTGACATTTTATTACTTTTCATGTGAAAGTATCAATGTACAAGGAACTATTCAATTATGATAGAACAGTTAAAACAGTTTTAGAAACTGGACTCAGCAGCAGTTTCAGACTTATTTTATGCATTTGTGGGATGTGGGCATTGCTGGCAAGGCCAGCATTTGTTTCACATCTTTAATTGAAAAGGCTCAGGATGACATATATGGATGAGACATGATGAAACACAATGAACTATAAGAAGGGAGAGTTATCTTGGCTAGACCTATGAAAATCAACCCCATGAAACAAAATCAAATCAAGATTGATTGTTGTCCAACAATTTTTTAGTCAATAGTGCAAACACTCTCCCTCATTCTGCTCTCTCTGCAGAATATTTACGTTGCTGAGTGTAAAAAACAATGATTTAACATTGTTCAAGTATCACTGAAATCATATTTTCTTTATATTTAAGCCATAACTTGTTTGCTTCATTCCCTGTACGTTCCTCTTCACCCGTGAAAAAAGTAAGCTCTTGCTGGAGTACAAAATAACACATACCTGACAATCCACAAGCGGTGGTCTCAGCTGCCAGCTGGAGAAGCAGAATTCCAAAACAAAAGCAACAGCAGAGATAAAAGAAAGCCAAAAGGTAAGAAAAATGTCCAGATTTCAAAATCTAAGTTTTATCTCCATAAGGGTGTTTGAAACAACCAATGCAGGCACCCGGGCCTAGCCACAGCCATTCCGTGCAAGACCTGCACTCGCTGATTAACCTGCTGCAAAAGGCTTCAAAGAAAAGAAAAACAAAAAAAAAACAAAAAAGAAAAATAGAAGAGAAGAATAGAAAAGTAAAAAAAGAAAGTAGACAAGAGATGTTGAGGCCTGGGCTCAGAAGTTCGCATGTAGCTCTGCTACTCCATTGCCATCTTGTTCAAGAGAAATACAATAGCAAGCCAATCCATTACGAAGCACTGTAGAATTTTTGTCAGCCATGTAATGTTCTTCCCAATGACACAACAGGGAGCTATTTTGCTGGAGGAAGAAGTCTATTGTTACAGAAATGCTCAGAACTCCAAGATCACTTAGCTGAAGTAAAATCTCTGCACAATTAATGAGTGATGATCTAGTCTTTCAAAAAGAGACACCAGTGGGAGAGAATAAGCAGCTTTGGTCCCTCGTTAATCCAGAGACCTGGTAATGTTCTGGGGATCCAGGTTCGCATCCCACCACGGCAGATGGTGGAATTTGAATTCAATACAAATCTGGAATTAAGAGTTTAATAATGACCATGGATCCATTGTCAATTGTCAGAAAACCCATCTGGATCACTAATGTTCTTTAGGGAAGGAAGCTGTCATCCTTACTTGGTCTCGCCTACATGGGACTCCAAACCCACAGCAATGTGGTTGACTCTTAACTGCCCACTGGGCATTTCGGAATGGGCAATAAATGCTGCCTAGCCAGCGATGCCCTTGTGCTGTGAATGAATAAAAAAAAAGAAGCAAGTTTTCCTTTCAAAATTTAGGATTTAACAAAAGTTTCCTATCAGTTCTGTTTTGGCAGTTTATTCTGTTGTCCATTCTAGTACAGTCCTATTTTCTTGTGGAGTCCTTGCCTACATCTGAACATCTTCATTTCACAGCAAATGTCGAGCTGATACCACTACCTACAGAAAAAGAAATTCCTGTACTAGAGGTATTGGAGAAGTTTTCATCTCCTTATCTCCAGCATTATCTTCAGAATGTCCTTCATTATTGTTCTCGTCTAATAATCCCTAGATTAGAAAGCAAGGCGGTTAGAAAAGAGAGTGAGAATTTCACTTGCTTTTTTTTCAAGAAGTACAATTAATTAAATCCTGGAGATTTCTCCTTTGAAGCAGTTTTTCCTTGTTTGATCTTCACTGCAGACTATCAAAGACCGTCATCAGAACTTGTAATTCCACTCTGCCAATGTGTTGGCCCTCGGTGGAAATGACGAGGGAGCACACAAGTTCTACACAAGAACCAAGAATGTTATTGGAGATTAGACACTGAGGCACAAGAGATTTGTAGAGGATGGGAAATGGAGTAAAAACATAATATCTTCATGATTAGATGTTAATAGTTAAAAAGGGATAACACAAAACAACTCAGGGGAAGATGTCGATAGAGTAATATAAAATGTCTTCCCTTACAATCTATATAAGGTTGCTATTCACTCACAAGAATGTAGTTTTCACATCACTGCAGTGGGTCACATTTATTGCACCTCACACCCTCCTGATGTTTGGTCCTTTGATCAGGTACTGAGTGCCTTTGAATGAGGGAGGCTCGCCTCCCACTTCCCCAGGAACCACAATCAACGCATACAGGTTTGCATGTCGTATTACAGATACAGCAAGGACATCAATACCAACAGTGGTGGAATGTGGCTCTTAATTGTCTCTTAAGGGTCTCAACTGGCAATAAAACAGGAAAATTATCCATGGGATTTCCTGATCTTGCCAATCAAGGTGAAGCTGGAAAAGCTGTGAGAGCCTTACCCACCAATTTAAAATCTACAAACATGTCATGTGGGAGGGTATTAAATACTATCCACAGAATCACACAATAGTCACAGTGCAGAAGGAGGCCATTGAGACTAACCTGTTGTGTGAGCTCTCTATGAGATACTCAACTCATCCCAAACCTCTGCCCTTTCCCCATAGCCTTGCAATTTATTTTACTCCTCAGATAGTTATCCAATTCCCCTCTGAAAGCCACAAATGAAGTTGCTTCAAACTCACTCTCAGGCAGTGCATTCCAAATCCTGACACGACAATGTATTAAAGACATTATTGTGCTTTTGGTTCTTTTGCTAATAACCTTAAATCAGTGTCCTCTGGTTCATAAACTTTCCATTTTCTCTGTCCACACCCCTCATGATTTTTTTAATATCTCTGTAAAATCTGCTCTCAACCTTCTCTTCTCAAAAGAGACAGCCCAGTTTCACCAATCTGACCATGAAACTGAAATCACTCAACTCCAGAACAATTCATGTAAATCTTTCCCACAACCTCTGCTTAGATCTTTCCTAAAGTGCAGTGTCCAGCTGAATCTGAGCTAGTGTATAACAAAGGTTTACCACAGTTTCCTTGATTTTGTATGTATGCCTTTATAAAGTTATCGAGGTTTGATATACCTGTCATGGCCAGCACAAGGGTTTCTGTCAACTCGTGAACTTTCTGTCCATCCACCCAAGAAATATTGTGGAAAGTGGATGCTTTAAAATGGTCACTCACAATCACCAAAAATTGTCAAACCCCTCATGTGTAGTTCCCTGGCCTGCCCTCAGATCTCACTCTGTTCCAGGCAACCTCCAGCCTCAGTGCTCAAGCTGCTTCTTACAGATTTTTGCACAACTTGTTAACGTGACTTAGTTATTCAACAGGTTTTTTTTTGAAGTTTCACAGTGAGTGCAGGACTTCCTAGACGCAGAATATTTACACACTAATATGCAGGCATAGTTAACTTAATTCCTCAAGTTACCTCTCTTTTAGACACAGGTTTACAGAAAATATGAACCAGGTTTCTGTAATTAACAAGATTTCCTATTTATTACAAATAATTACATTCTTGCTTCAAGTAAACAATTATGAACCATCAATATATAACTCTAATAGATAAAACTCTAACAACCTTATAAAATGTTATAAAACGGACACATATGGACATAAAAAAATGTCTTGGATGGAGGGAAAGATTGGGATGGCAGTTCAATGGTCCCTGTCCACACGCTTTGCTGAGATGATCCTTAGGCTTGTCAGGGATTGCTGCTCCAGGTACTGTAACCTGCTTGCAAGAGGCAGAGGATGTCTTTTTGACACTTATAAAATCACTGACTTATTGGTTAAGAACTGTAGCTTACAGCAACTGATGAAGGAAAATAAACTGACTTTCTTCTGGCTTGAGGCTTTTTTTGCTATACAGAAAGACAGCTCCATCCTTTTTAGCAGTCTATGGCTTCCGACCAAACATTCTCACCCATGAGGTATTCAGCAACTTGGAGCCAAGTACATAGTTGTTGGGAGGCAAAAGACCTTTGTCATTGAGGTCTGGTCACCACTCCACAGAGCAATCTACAACTTGTTGCCAGGAGAATCTCCCTTTGTACCCACCCCTTCATATTATAACTCATCCGTAGTAACCTCATTAAGTGCTGAACAAACAGCAGTCTAAATAGCATTTACAATTAATTTTTTTTTAAACAAAAGTGCAGTAATCCTTTCCACAATTCATGTTTTTTTTAAAACAGGCCTTTTCCCATTTCAGTCCGCAACTGAAAAGTACAGAAAAATAAAAAGATAGGGTCTTTAAACCACCCATTGCCTGAACACCATCTGTTCCCATCACTGTGTTTGATGAATAGAAATTAACTACTTTAATTATTTCAATCTGCATTAGATCATACAGATATGTATGGAGAATAGATATTACTAATTAATTTATAAATACTGAATAGTTTTGTTGACAAAAATAATACATTACTGAAACTGATCTTTACATAACAACCTCAATTGTTCTAATCTCTACTAGTTTTTAGTGTATAAAACTGCACATATGTTAATATTTAATTCGTCAGTAAGGACCACATGGTCAGGAGACGTGGACTATTAAAAGTCAGCTATTAAAGAGCTAATGAAGAAGTAAAAATTGATTGTGAAAGTAAATAGGTATGAAATATAAAAACAAACAGAAGGATCTTCTACAGGGATAGAAAAGAGAGTAGCTAAATTAAATGTAGGACCCTTGGAGAATGCAACTGGAGAATTATTAATGGGCAACAGGGAAATGGCAGATAATTTAAATAATATTTTGCATTGGTCTTCAGGGTGGAGGATGTTATAAATATCCTAAAGAGAACAGATAAACAAGATGCCAATGGAAGGAAAAGTCTTGTAA